TAGCTATCTGATTACCATCTAGACCAAATCAATTGTCGATTAATAAATTAGTAATTTACAATTTCAGAATATTTCACAAATAAAGCTCATCAAGTCTTCTTTCAAATTTCACTCTGAAGCACAATCAAGAAAATCTTCAATCTTTCAGGTGTTATACCATCATAAAATCATAGTAAATAGGAGTAGGGTATTTGCCACTCAAATCTGTTCTGCCATTTAATAAGATCACAGGTGATCTGATCACCCGTAACCCTGGATTCTGTCAATCAAAGTCTGTCTAACTTTACCTTGAAATGGGAGATGATCTAATTGAAACAAATGAGAATGAGGGGCTTCACAAGGTAGATGCTGGGAAAATGTTACCTCTCGGAATTTTAGAACTAGGGGCATAGTTTAAACATCAGGGCCTCCTGTTTAACAGGGAGATGAGGTTTGTTTTCCCTCAGGGTTATAAAGCTTTTGAATTCTGTTTCCCAGACAGCAATGGAAACTGCATTACGGAAACAGATTCTTCAGTCAAAGAAGTCCATGCCAAACATAACCCTAAACTAAACTAGTCCCACCTGCCTGCTCCTGGCGCATTTCCCTCCAAGCCTTTCATATTCTTGCACTTATTTAAGTGTGTTTTAAACGTTGCAACTGTGGCTGCATCCACCGCTTCCTCAAGAAGTTCATTCCACACGCGAACCACCCTCTTGTAAAGGATTTGACTCCGTCTTTTCTTAAATCTCTCTCCTGTCACCTTAAAAATAAGTCCCCAAGTCCTGGAAATTCCCATCCTAGGAAAAGACACCTACCATTAACCCTATCTGTAACCCTTATGATTTTACACACTTCTATAAGGTCACCCACAGCCTCCTACGCTCCAGTGAACAGAAGTCCCAGCCTATCCAGCCTTTCTTTGTAATTCAAACCTTCCATACCTGGCAACATCCTGGTAAATCTCTTCTGGGCTCTCTCGAGCTTTCTTATATCCTTCCTATAAGAGGGTGACCAGAACTGGACACAGCACTCTAGAAGAGGTCTCATCAATATCCTATACAACCTCAACATGACTTCCCAATTGCTATACTCAAAGGGCAGAGTAATGAAGGCAAGCATGCGAAAAGCCTTTTTAACCACCCTGTCTATATGTGACACAAACTTCAAAAGAATTATGTACCTGAACCCCCTCTGTTCTACAACATTACCCAAGGCCTACCATTAATTGCGCAGGTCCTGCATCTGTTTGTTGTACCAAAATGCAATATTTTACATTTATCCAGATTGAATTCTATCTGCCATTTTTCAGCCCACAGACCCATCTGTAATCTTAGAAAGCCTTCTTCATTGTCTACAATGCCACCAATTCTGGTGTCGTCCACAAACTTACTAACCATACCTTCTATATTCACATCCAAATCATTTATGTAAGTGACAAATAAAAAAGGACCCAGAACCAATCCCTGTGGAACACCGCTGGTGACAGGCTTCCTGTCCAAAAAGCAACATCTACCACCACTGTCTCCTGCGGTTAAGCCAATTATGTGTTCTTCCTCTTTCCTGCGTAGTTCTATAAAGCAACCCTTAGGGATCAAATCCTCAACTTCCACAGCAACCACCCCAACTTCCACAAACAAAGCTGCATTAGGACACTATTTAAACCGGCCAGGACACACTGCAACACTCCAGAACTACGCAGGAAAGAGGAAGAACGCTCATACAAGATCCTCGCCTTAAACAGATATCCCCGCAACTTCATCCACACATGCCTGCAAAACAAACAACAACAGGAGGACACAGTATGAGCTAACACACTGGCCACACTGCCCTACATCAAGAATATATCAGAATTGACAATAAGGCTCCTAAGACCACTAGACATCATGGTGGCCCACACGCCCACAGCCACTCTACGACAAACACTTCTAAGGATTAAAGACCCCATTCCTACAACATGCAGAACGAACGTGGTTTACAAAATACCATGCAACGACTGCCACAAACATTATATCGGACACACAGGAAGGAAACTAGCCATCAAAATACACGAACATCAGCTAGCAGCAAAACGGCATGACAAACTCTCCTTAATATCGGTACATTCTGACAATGAAGGTTATCAATTTAACTGGGACAAGGTAACCATAATAGCCCAAGCCAAACACAGACATGCACAGGAATTCCTAGAGGCATGGTTCTCCACCATACTTCAATCAACAAGCATATAGAATTGGATCCCATGTACAAACCCATACAGATCAAAACCAGAAATGACAGTACTCACCACAAAGGACCAGACAGTATAATAACATCACTTCATCGGAGGCTCCACTGATGATGTCACCAAGCATGGTGAACAAAAACAAGCCAGCTCGGCAAGCAAGTCAACAACCTAATCCACAACCCGAGCTTCAGATCTTTGCCAAAACTCTAAATATTTATTTTTATTGCAAACTATTATTCAGCTTTGTATCTTTATCAGTTAAGTCTTGTGTCCATAACAAAATCAATTTTATTGTTTATTAAATAAATTTGGTCAATGGATCATTTTATTCTGAATCTAATATGAATTATACGTAATTAAAACAAAGAACAGAATAGATACTGGAGATCTGTAGCAAGCAAAAACAAAGTACTGGAGAAACTTAGCATGTCTGGCAGCACCTGTGGAGGGAAAAACAGAGTTAACATTTTGATTAGTTTTGACAAAGTGTCATTGGACTTGAAACATCAACTGTTTTTCTCTCCATGGATACTACCACAACTGCTGAGTTTCTCCAACACTTTCATTTTTTGTTTGCATATAGTATGTAAACGGCCAAATCAGTAACTGGGCCAAACAGTTAAACATATGCTGTTACCAGTTAAGTAGTAGGACTAGATAGGCTCAGTGCTCATGTCCAACCACAGTCATGACAATTGTCATTTTAAAAAAAGCCCATTTCATTCACAAACATCCTTCAGAGAAGGAACTCTGCCATCACTACATGGTCTGGCCTACATGTGACACGAGTCCAACAGCAACTACTCTGATAAGATCTAAAAAGCCAATCAGTCCAAGGGTAACTAAGGATCGACAATAAATGCTGGAACTGTCAGTGACACCCACATCCTATGAAAGAATAAAGAAAAGCTTCCCTACTTTTATACGCCATCCCCTTTGCAACAAAAGCTAAAATTCCAATCACCATTCTAATCACAATGTACCTGCATGCTAGTTTTTTTTGTAATTTATGTATTACAAGTCATATTTCTTTTTAGCACAGATTTCTATTTCATTCCATTTAAATAATATTCTGCTTTCCTATTGGCCTTTCCAAAATTGAAAAGTTCAGAATTTCCCACATTATGCTCATTCACTTAACCTGTCCAGATACTTTTACAGACTTCTGTTTTGTCCTCTTCACAACTTGTTTAGTAAACCTATCTTTATATCATCAGCAAAATTTACCACACTACACACAGTTCCTTCATCCAAATCAATAACACGGATGACAAATTGTTGAGACCCCAGCAATCCTCTACCCTGCTAATATGTAAATTTCAATACATGAGTTCTTATCGTGTACGCTAACTTTTGATATGGCAATTTACCGAATACCTTTTACAAATTCAACGACAACAAATCTACTGGTTCCCCATTATCCACAAGACTATAAGACATAGGAGCAGAAGCATACCATTTAGCCATCAACTCTGCTCCAACATTCAATGACATCATGGCTGAGCTGAAAACCCAACTCCATATCCTTGCCCTTTTCCTATAACTGTTGATTCCCTTACTAATTAAAAATCTCTCAGCCTTGAATACATAAAGACACAGCGCAACAGCCCTCTGTGGTAAAGAATTCCACAGATTCATTATCCTTGAGAAAAGAAATACCTGTCTTTATCTTAAATATGCAATCCTTTATTCGGAGATTATTCCCTTAGTCCTAGAATTTCCCACAAGGGGAAACAATCTCACTAGATCTACCTTGTTAAAGGCCCTCAGAATTTTATACGCTTCAATAAGGTCATCTCTCATTCTTCTAAATTCCACTGAGTACAGGCCCAATCTACTCAACCTCTCCCCATAAAACACTTCATTCCTTGTATCAGCCTAATTAACTTTCTCTAGACTACCTCCAATGTCAGTACATTTTTCCTTAGACAAGGGGCCCAAAACTGCTCTCAGTATTCCAGCTGTGGTCTGACTAGTGCCTTGTGTAGTTTTAGCAAAACTTCCCTATTTTTATACTCCAGTCCCTTTGAAACGAAGGCCAATATTCCATTTGCCTTCACTGTTAACTGCTGAACGTGGCAGCCAGCTTTATGATTCATGCACAAGGATTCCAAAATTCCACTGTGCTGTAGCTTTCTGCTCTCTTTTCTCCAATTAAATAACATTCAGCACTTCTGTTCCTATAGAAGTGCAAACCTCACATTTTCCCACATTATATTTCATCTGCTAAGTTTTTGCCCACTTCACTTAACCAGTCTATATCCCTCTGCAGTCTTTTTGTCATCTTCACCCCTGGTCTTACTGCCCTGTCTGTTACTTTCTCAAAGAACTCTAATAAATTAATCAAACATCAGTTCTCGTTCACAAAACCACACTGACTGTCTGAATTATGAGTTTCTAAACTTGTTGGAAAAAAGGAGACATGCTATTGATGTTTTTATTCATCAGGGCAAATATAAGGATATAAAACTTCAAAGGTATTTGGCATAGGAAACCAGGCATTGATTGGCTGGCTGCCAATTAATCTTACTGTGACAGATCAAACAGATTAGTCAAGGTATCATGTGCTTTCCTTAATGCAACATTATTCTTAAATTCTTTAGTTGGCCGTGGATGCTGGTACTTCTCGGAGTCTTTCTTTCTCAATGGACAATACTGAAAACATAATATGTTAATATCAGCCGGGCAAATTTTACTCTGAAGCCAGTTTTACACATCAGGAAGCCTACATTATTTTCCAAGAGTTCTGCAAAAATTATTCAACATCAAATCAGTTAAAAGGGAAAGGTCCAACCTGTGCTCCCTTCATTGCCATCCAGGGAAGGCTTGATAGACTCTGACGGATTGCTCATTCTCGATTCTGTGCAAAATGGAAAAGAGGCATATCAGTTATTCATTATGTTTTTCTTCTTTCGCCAGTTACTTTCTTTATTCAGGAAGAAGGCATTTAATTGGGCCAATAGAGTTTTGTTGTAGTGATTAAATACTATGTCATTCTGATAAAAATGTAATGAATAGATACGACTCTTATAAACTGAACTAACACTATTCTAGAAATATTGTGATGAAACTGTGAGATTGTGAAGCTTTATTTTAATACCTTTTACTGCAAGTTTGGGCTATCGGAATTCTAAGTTAAACATATTGCTTTGTTTACGTGTTTAGAGTTAACAATTAGCTTTTTACAAACTACAATCCTAATACCAAGTGAGAGGAAGTCACTCTTCGAGTGAACAATCCAGAGGACTTAGAAGGAAAACTTTCCAGACCTTCACTTTCGTTTCAGTTTGTGCTGGGAAGTTGTTCAAGAGAAAAGCATTTATCAAATTCTGAAATGCTAAGAGGTCGTTCAATGGAGTAATATGTGCTAAGCAGTGTACCTAATAAAATTAGTTTAAAGTAATGAAATTATTATTAATCCCAGATCAGACTGTTTTTAATTCAGTTGATGGAAAAGAAATTAAGTTAAATTTTTGAAGTTTTAAAAGCCAAAATGGAACTGAAGCTGCATCAGGGACATGGGCTACACAGTGGCTCAGTGGTTAGCACCGCTGCCTCACAATACCAAGGACCTGGGTTCGATTCCACTCTTGAGTGACCGTTTGTGTGGCATTTGCACATTCTTCCGTACCTGTGTGGGTTTCCTCCAGGTGCTTCGGTTTCTTCCCACGGTCCACAGATGTGCAGGTTAGGTGGATTGGCCATGTTAAATTGTCCACAGTATCCAGGGATGTGCAGGCTAGCTAGATTAGCAGTGGGAAATGCAGGATTACAGGGATAGGATAGGAGGTTGGATCTGGGTGGGATGCTCTTTGGACCATTAGCATGGACACGATGGGCCGAATGGCTTACTTCCACACTGTAGGGATTCTATGGTTCTGTGACACTGGTACAAGCTAAATCAGGAGCACAATAATAATAATTCAGAAAGTGTTACCTGCGGTTTCAGATGAGTTGAAATTTTAATTACCTCAAGCCCAACAAGTCTCCGTCTCTCTCTCTCTTTCCCCCCGACTTTGAAAATCAGCAGGACTGGGTGTTGCTATATAGTTACAGCACTAGGTATTCTTAGAATGTTTGTAAGTTGCATCAGTATCATAATTGTATCATAAAATTTACTGATTCCGATACAAAGCTGTTGTTTTTGTTCAATCTATGAAGAGTGCTTGGGTTGTTTATACTGTATTTAAAAACCTTTGAACCTGTGCAAAGTGTTTTTGTTCATGTTTCTGATACTAATAAACTTTTGCTGTTGAAACAAAAATTGCAATATTGTGCACCTATGTTTTAGTAAAAGATCACCACTGTAACTGGAAAAAAAATAAAATTTATGATCGATCCAGCCAGGTTCCTGTCAGGGATCTGACTTGTCCAGTACTAACATCGCCTAAGCATTACCCCATACCAACTGGGGTGACGAGATCATAATAATGCAGAAAAAGTGTGTCTCCAGCATGGCAAATTCTTTTCAGAATTCATTCGCTCTATCATTCTTCCCACAGATTGTACATGTAGTAGTTGAAGCAAACCAGGTATACTAGGATTGGTTTTTAAAATCAACTTTCAATTCAATGGATAAGAGAGTCATTTTAGCAAAACAAAAGTCACTTCCTTACACATTGCCTTCTTACAACATGATCGTCCATTTATGACAGCTTTTATAAAGTAAGATATTCAATTACATCAGCCTTTTTAAACAGATACAACAATTACAGCACAAGTAAACCTTGAACACAATTTCACTCTTTAAAAATGCAAATGATTTCATTTTTTTAAAACGTGACTAAATACTAAGTACAAGCATAAATATATACATAGATCTACAGGGAAAAACATTCAAAATTGCAGGAATTCCACTTTCCCAAATTAAAGACAGAGTGGTCAGTCCAAGGTGAAGTATATTTTTCTCTCTTAGTTGGCCCTTTCACCAACTGCCGCAGACCTGGATAATCAGCTGCCTCCTATTGGCAGCAGCCAGCTTGGTTAGTAGCCACTGTTAGTGATGAACATTTAATTTCCCCCATCCAGAACACGTGCTGGGGTGCCTTTGCCGCCAATCAGAAGATTTCTTTGCATTGGAAAATTAATACTAACATATCTACAACTTCATTATCTAAGAGCCTAGGATGACATCAATCAGGACAGGGAGACTTTTCATCCCACGGGCACATAAAACTTTGTTCAGTGTTGCTTCCCTGGTGATTATAACTTCACCAATTTCCCCTCTTCCTCTACATAGTGATTTACTGCTATTACCAGGATGTTTTTGGTACGTACAGATGGCAGAAGAAAAATTTCATCCACCATTTTCTTGTTTACTCCCATTATCATTCTCTCGAGGACAAATACTCACTTTATTTCCTCTTTTTCTTTTTAGATACCTATAGAAACTCTTAATATCTATTTTTACATTTCTTGCTAATATCCTCTCATACCATAATTTCTTCATCCTGATTAACATTTTAATCATACTCTGCCACTTAACATTCTGACCAATCATCTGACCTGTCACTCCCTGTCAACTTTGTGCAATTAAATGTATTTTCCTCAGGTTTGAAGTTTTCTTTAAATTCTCAAAGACTATCTTTTATTTTTCTGTTTTTGACTGTGGACAAAAATATGAAAAGGACTGTATTAAAAAGGATTATTAAGGACTGTGGAACGGCTGCACTTTTTAACAGCAAGTTACCTGACACTCATTCTAAGTGCCGTTTGCTAAGTTTAGTTGCAGACGGGTTGCAACTAAGGGTTTGAACGAATAGAGATTTGGCCAGTAACAAGTAATGGATTCGTTTGGGGAACGGTGACACATTATTGATACAAAGTTCTTTTGCCTGCCAACAACTATGTGATTGGTTCCAGGTCGCTGAAAAGGTTGTAGGAGTGTATGGCTTCTGTAGACAGCTCCTTCCTTTCCAGGCTCATTGGACCTCTGGCTCTTAACCAATAAGTGAAAGACTTTGTAAGTATAATTCAGTTACCTTGTGACAGGAGCAGGTTGAGACTTGAACATGGGTCTTGTGGCTCAGAAGTAGGGACACAACCACAGCCAAAAGAACCCTCATTTTTTAAAAAAATCCTCATTTTTTTTATTTTAAGAAGTGCTGTTCCATCAAATCAGCTATGGCACTTTTTGTATATTATCCACCACCACCAAATCACCTGTATTTCCAATTAATCAATTTATGTGCAAAGCCCAACAAGGGCAATACAATAACATCAAAAGTGAGGGAAAGGTAGGGAGAGAGGGAGGGTGCTAAATCAAAATGGATTTGTAAGGGTAGATATGGCACTCCACCCTCTTTTGAGTTTCGCTCTCCTAGTTAAGTATTTTTTACTAAACCTACACACCTCTGGAGCAGGTGGGACATGAACCCAGATCTCCTGGCTCAGACGTAGAGACACTTCCACTGCCACAACAACCCTCCTTTTTTAATCCAAAATATTTTCTAATCAACCTGATTCAACCTGGAGCAGATGGGACCAGGCCTTGGGCCCTCTTTCCCATAAGTAGGGACAATACCACTGCCCTATAACAGACTTTTTTAATCCGAGAGATATTTTCTAATTAACCTACTCAAAGATATTATTACACACATCTGCAGCAGGTGGGACTTGAACTCAGACCTCCTGGCTCCAAGTTAGGGACATTATCACAGTGCCACAACAGCCCCTTTGGTGATCCAATTTTTCTAAACAACCTGTTCAGCGATGTTATTATATGTCTCTCCAGCAGATGGGACTTGAACTCCAGATTGCCAGTCCAGGAGTAAGGATGCTACCACTGTTCCACAGGACAGCCATCCTTTTTTGGTCCAACTTTTTATTTCAAAAATCAACCTCTTCAGAGATGTTATTACACATCTTTCCAGCAGATGGGACTTGAACCCGAGCATCCCAGTCCAGGCATAGGGACAGTACAATGTGCCACAAGATGGCACTTTTTTTAAATCAAACCAGTTTTTCTAACCAACTTGTTCGGAGATGTTACTACACACCTTTGGAGCAGGTGGGATTTGAACCTGGCCTTCAAATCCAGGAGTAGGGACAATACCACTGTTCCTCAAGAGGGCCCCCCTTTTTTATTCAGAAAATACCAAATTCAATGAGCATCACCTGCTTCCAATCAATTCTGGAGCTGTATGTTTGAGCCTTAAGGGCTCGTGTTTCACAGTGGCAATGTTCCTATCTCTGAGCCAGGAGACCCCGATTAACGTTCCACCTGCTCCAGACGTGTGTAATAACATCTCTAACCACTTTGATTTGAAAACATCTTGTCTTTGAATGGTAACGATCCAGAGGTTATTACCTTTATGGCTTCACTTTCTAATTTAGCACCTAGCTTCTCATACTCTGCAGAATTTCTTTTCTAGTTGTGTTGGTATCTACATGGACCTCGACCAGAGGATCATGTCCCCCTTCCACTTCAAGCTTTTCTCCAGCCTGGAGCAGATTTTACAAACTCTCACACAGCATAAACACAAGCCATCTAGATTCTCACATTTTCCTGCAGAGAACAGTGTCAATTCCGCTCACAGTCACTAGATTCCCCTTTGCTCCTTCTGCTTGAATGGCTTCCAGGATCATGATGTCGTAGTCAGTTAGCTCATCAACTGTGAAGTCCTCACTCTCATTCAAATAAGCCGATCATACCACAAATCATTTATATAATTGCATAGGTTTAAGATTCTGGCCTCTGGATCCCCATACCTACCTCACACTCAATCACACTTTACTGTCACTGACCACGGCAAAATCAGAAGATTCTATCCTAAGGGGTGTAACCGCCTCCCAGCCCACTGACTCTGAGTCAAATTTCCTGCAGTTGCAGACACTTGAACTGCAGTTTGAAACCCTTCCTGC